GCCTGACCAATCCCTGCGTCATAATAAACCGTCTGCCCCTCCCCACCCAATAATGAACACACGGAATAGTTTTTTGTATTTAGTGGGTATTTAGTGGGTATTTAGTATGAGGGTGCGAAACTTCCCCCTTGGTTAAAAAAAACTAAATTGGAAAACATTTTTTAAATAACATCTAACTAAAATATTGCCAAAATTGGATTCCGAAGCTTCCCCCTGACATTATATTGAAAACATTCGTTTTAAAAAATGAACTTTATATTTCAAAACCGATTGAATTCCTATTCAAAATCTAACTCAAATCTTGCCAAATTGGATTTCGAAGCTTCCCCTTATATTAAATTGAAAACCTTACTAATCCCCACCTCCTTTTACTAAACGTACCCTAAATACTAAAATATTACATTGATTCCTTTTACTAGGGTCCGCGTTAAATTTTGGGAAATTTCAGGCTGGCCAGTTTGACTTTTAATTGATACCTTTTCAAAAACAAATTAAACATGAAGGTCCCATTTCAGGATTTCACCACCAAAAAATAAAAACTAGTCAGCCCCGGTGATTTTTTAAACTAGGGTCTTTTAAGGTCGAAAAAATAAGTATTTTATATTACAACGTTTATATAATATTGGGGGAAAACTTCGAAATCCACTTTTTGGCATTTCCTGGCAATATTTTTGCTGGATGTCAAAAGGAAATCTAATCGATTCTTGAAATCGAAAAAACATAGTTTTTTTTATTAGTGTTTTTAATTTAATCTTAGGGGAAAACTTCGAAATCCAATTTTTAGCAATATCTTAATTATATGTTAAACAGAAAACTAATCGATTTTGAAACAGTTTTTTTTAAAATATATTAGGGCTGGTAATTTAATATTAGAGGAAACATTTCGAAATCCGGTTTTTGTTTTTATTTTTGTTACTACAATTTAAAAGGAAATCGAATCGATTTCAAAAAAGAAAAAATAATATTTTATATTAGGGTTTTTTAATGTAATATTAGGGGAAAACTTCAAAATCCAATTTTTGACCATATTCTAATTAGATTTCAAAAGGAAATCTAATGAATTTTGATATAGAAAAAATAGTCTTTGATATGAGGGTTTAATATGAGGGGAAAGCTTCGAAATCCAATTTCTGGCAATATCTTAATTTGAATTTACAAGGAAATCTAATCGATTCTGAAATAGAACAAATTTAGTTTTTTATATTGGAATTTTTCATGCAAGATTAGGGGAAGCATCGAAATCCAATTTTTGAACATATTTTAATAATTAGATTTTAATTTGATATTAGGGGAAAGCTTCAAAATCAATTTTTTGTTTTTTTTCATTAGATTTCAAAAGGAAATCTAATCGATTTTGAAACAGGGAAAAAAACAAAATGATATTAGGGTTTAATATAAGGGAAAAGCTTCGACATCCAATTTTTTGGCCATATTTTATTTAATTTTAAAAGGAAATCTAATCGATTTCGAAATAGAAAAACATACATAGTTTTTTATGTTGGGGGTTTTTATTTGATATTAAGCTTCGGAATCCACTTGTTTGCCATATTTTAATTGGATTTAAAAAGAAAGAAATCTGATCGATTTTGAAATAGAAATATGTGTATATATATATATATGTGTGTGTGTGTGTTTTTTATCAGTATTAGGGGGAAGCTTCGTACCCTAATACTAAAGACCCCCCCAATACTAAAAACTCCTCCAGGTGTTTGTTATTTGGGTGGGTGGGTGAAGGGGCGACTGTTTAGCAACAGGGGGAAGGGATTAAACCGTTTTTTGTTTCTAATTTCAAAATCCATGAAAATAATCTTTAAATAGAATACTGCCAAGAATAGGATTTCGAAGCTTTCGCCTAGTATCAAATAAAACACCAACACCTGAATTAAAAAAACTAAAATTGACGATTTTAAAGGACGGACCCCAATAAAAGACACCCCGGTGTTGACTAGTTTTTTATTCTTTGGGGGTGAAACCCTCACATGGTACCTTCATTTTTAAAATTGTTTCCTCAAGGGGATCAATTAAAAATCAGATTAACCAATTTGACATTTCCCAAAATTGGAAATCGCACCTAGTTTTTGTCATTTGGGGGTATTTTTCGTAATAGGGAGAAAGGATTAGCAAAAAGAATGCCTGATCAAAATGATGCTGATTCTGTGTGTTACAATCTTTTTGCCCACTACAGTGTCTACAGGGTTACAAGGGATGCCGTGCCAGCTAGAGTCCCAAGTCCATTCAACCAACACCCTAATCGATGAAGTTGGACTTGTTGAAATGGAAGTGGGACTGGACCAGTTGACATGGGGCGATGCTGACCTTCAACGGGAGCTTCGGCGCCTGAAGGACAACAGTTTGAAAATTCCGAACCTGAAATATATTTTCAAAATTGCCTTACTAAGAGTGATCCCCACCCTGACACACTATTCTGACATAGTTTCTGACATATCATCTGGACGTATATGTGGCATATATGTTCTGACATACTATCTTACATTCTTTTCTGAGATTCTATTTGACATTCTTTCTGGCATCCTATCTGGCATCTATTCTGACATACTTTCTGGAATATACTATATTCTGATCCTGCCTTGCCATGAGTTTGGGCTGGGAGTGCTTTTATTTGCGTGGATCAATGCCAATGGCTTGAATATCCACCAAATGTTGGTTTCACATGTTTGCACCCAATGATTGCCATTACCATTGATACCCCAAAATGGCCAGGTCCTGAATTTGAGAGTAGGTCCTGAAAAGTTTTCTGGGTACTGAAAAAACAGGACTTTGGCACAGGGTCTGAAAAAAGACGTAGGTGGAAGATTCAGGTATGCTGTTGGGTTGCAAAGCTGGGTTAATTATCTTGTGGTTCCATATAGTGAAGATTCGATTGTCCAGGATTGTACCAACGCATCTAAAACATGTTTGAAAGTGTTTTCAGTGAAACATCACCATCGCCCAACTTATTCGCAACACATTTCCAATACAGCTGGAATCATTGGAACATTGGAACCTGGACCAACCCTTCATGGCTCCCGTTTTTTGCTCTCGAGGCTCCGACTCCTGCTGTCGCCACACCAGCGGCCTTGTGCTGCAATGAACACCTTGCGAGTCAGATCCTGAGACCATCTGAGACCATCTGAGTGCTGACATTTTTGGGGCAAAGCTCCATGGAAATCCCATTGGAAATCCCATTGGAAATCGATGGACATGGAATGACATGGACATGTTCCAAGTGGTCTCCGCCCAAAGAACTTGCCCGTGGCAGTCCTTGGGCGCTTTGGGCTTTCGAGCGCAGAACTGACATGTTTGCATTTTGCATCATCCCTAGCAACACAGGTTGATTATGAACTCCCTGAGATTCCATCTTCTAGTGTTTTTTTTGTTTGTTTCAGAATGTCACCTCATGCTACACTATACCGGGCCTGGGGGCAGTACAGGATGGACTGCAGCGTTTTTGGCATTTGGATCGGGTGCTCAAGGGAAAACCATCCTGATAGATTTGATCCTACCTGATGTATCCACAATATTCAAAAAACTTATACAATTATACAATATCTAAATCTATCTATATAAATCTGAATCTAATCTATCTACCGTATGTGTATATTATATATATGTATATATACACATACATTCTGTATATATAGATGAACACACACACACACACCTGTAGGACTGTCGGGCCATGATGGACCTGTTCGCTTGGCCGTTGGTGAGAAGTGATATGAAATGATCCTAATCTCGGACATCTGGCGATTGCTTGATTGAGTTTGACAGCTGGAAGGGGATCCAGTCAAAGCAGAGGATCCTGTCAGTCCTTTTCTGGCGTTATTATTTGCCCCAACCAGTCGTCATAGATAAATGCGCGTGTAGCTTGAGTGGTAGATACTATATAAGTATCCCTAGTTCAGGGCTTTCAGATTTATAGCCGGCAACGGCCCTTCATCAAAGGAAGGGCGGATCAAGAAAATCATGTCATCCAACTCCAAATTCTGACTTTGTTGCCACGGGGCTTCACCTCACGTGGCCTGAGCCTCTGAGCTTTTCTGGTCAGGCTGAAACCCAAGTGCTCGTTTGCAGCTTGGACTCAAGCAGGTTTCAAATAAACTGCGTTGCGACAGAACACCTGTCTCTCTACGCGGCAATGTTCGAGCCTATGTTAGAGACAATTAGCGGATGGCTCACCTACGTCGCGGAGTCTGTGCCGTCACTGCAAGAGCCAAATGAGCCTTTGCAGTCGCAAGAGACATTGACAAAAGAGGGCATGGAGGGACTGCTGTCCTCCTTGAAGTTTCCATTGTCGTATGGACATCAGGAGTTCAAGGAACATTGGCCCCACACGCCCCATGAAGCCAAGCTGGTGATCCAAAGCCTGCATGACCTGGCGCGTGCATTGTTTGGAGCCAGGGAGGATGATGCAGTCGTGGCATCTTTCTTGGAGAAGAGGGGATTGAGTCTCTAGTAGAAGCACTGCTCGCGAAGTCAACTCCCGAGATCATCCGCGCACAGGCGTGGCAGTCGCTGTGCCTAATCCTGCTGAATGTGGAGGACAGCTTTGTGAGACACAGGGGCACACATTCACACACACATGCAGAAAAATGAGATCATATGCCTACTGTATTGACATGCAAAGTCGCCATAAGTCGCCTATTGCTTCTCCCATCATGATTTCAAAGTTGTTCATGATTGGAGCTTGGCGCCAAAATGACCAATTCGCATGCCCACATCCAATACATGTTCGATGTTGCTCTGGAATCCCTGGAATGACAAAGACCGCAGGAGGATGTCTTCCAACGGTTGATCATTGGGCGCGAGCTGGATGTGTTGTGGTCTGGCGAGCCAGATCTTCGAATTGAGGAGCTGGGAAGTTGTGCAAGTTGTGCCCCTTGCGGCGCGAAGCAAGTTCTGTTACAATGGCTCAATCCATCTGACCAGCAATAGAGCTCTATTCGCAAACTCAATTCTTTCTTTTTGATTCATCTGTATTTCAGCGTCAGGAGAATCGGATGAACTTCGTCTCTTGTCTCAAAACAGTCAGCATGCGAATAGACGTGGAGACGCTGCCATTCCTCATGACAGACAGCGACATCCCGATCCTCAGAGTGGCGATGGCCTACACGGCCCATGAAGAGGCCCTGCTCCGCACCCAGGCGCGCAACGCCATGTTGACACTTTTTTCGAAGATGAAGATGGGCGAGGAACAGCTGTTGCGGACTGCCTTGGAAATGGCAAAGTCCAGGAAGCTTGGTTGAGTTATTGGCAAGTCATGACATTTGACATGACATGTCATGCCCCTGTACTGGATTAGGAAAGGCGTCATGCTGGAAGATTTATGCGTTGTCACGCTTGAATTTCTGGTCCATTTGTTTCTTGAAAGGAGATTGGCACATTGCTCCCTCAGACGTTTCATACTTCACTTGTTGAAACATTCATGAAGTCAGATGTCATTGAGCACATTCGATTGCATCCCAGATTTTCAAGGTTGCCGACCCCTTTGTGCACTTTGCTGTGGCAGAATTGGGCAAACATGGCACAAGCAGCCAAAAACAGGAATGCTCCGGCTTTGCAAAAATGGGCATTCCGTGAAGAGGACTGTATTCCCGGTACCCCACAAAGGAGTGAGAGTTAAGGGGCAATATGGGACACGACCTTCTGAAAAGCGAAGAACAAGGCTTTTGCAAAATCTGAATTCTCAAATTCTCTTTAAGCAGAAGCAACGCCGTACCTCGAGCAGGTTGCACGGTTTTGTATCCCCAAATCTATGTGTACCAAAGAGATGTAATTGGCCTAGGCTTTTGTGAAGCAGACCGTCGATGCGATCAATCCAATAGTGGCCTATTCCCTGGCAAGGGTGTCGGGTGTCCATGGTCCGGATAGCTCGGATAGCTGGGATAGCTGCAGGACCTTTGGGACCATCTGGCCGAACTGATCAAGCTTGACATCACAGACGTCACACAGATGGTCTGTGGTGTTATAGTGGGAAGTCTGGTCTGGAAACTGGGATCCCTGACTCCCACAGATGTGAGAGTGAACCACTGGAGCGCTCCCTTTGTGAAGCTTTTCAAAAGATCCAGCAATAATTCTGTGGGACGGTATTCTTGAGGAAGATTGGGGAATGAATGTGAATACACAACGCAATCTCTCTCTCTCTCTCTAGTATATATATATATACAGTGTTGTGGGTCCAAGTAGAGATATTGTATGTGGACATATCTAGTCTATACATGTACTCATATTGTTATGCAGTATTCCGATAAGAATACCATATGCGCATTATATCTATTTTGGGTTTCACCAGAACAAGGAATGTCTGTGGACTCTGGGGGCGTTCTTCCGATTGTGTTGATGCATAAGTGCAGGGTCACTTGAAACTTCGCACAACCAGTCCAGGAACAGCGACGATTTCGACTCAGAGCCGATGATGGCCGTTCCGCCTCCAGGGGCGTGGAATCTGTCGCCGAAGTCCCACACAGAATCAACGGCCTCGCTGTCGGCGGACCAGTCTTCGCTGGAGGAGTGTGCCAGCTTTACTGCGTGTGGGCTTGGAACCGCCATGAAGGTTGCGGAGACGTTCGCCATAGATATGGCATCCAGTGAGCATTGCGCCGCCATGGCTCTGAGAACCCTGGCAACCTACGCGGGAACTCTTCGACACGCAGGCATTGCTTGTGCGCTCATGCCACTTGTGGAGTCTTTTGGATTTATCAGTGAGCTTGAAGGTTATCACTTTGCTGGTCTGGAAACACTAAAGCCGTACAGTCTTTTTCCCTCTTGTTGAGTAGCGTTTGATGTTGGCTGAAATTCCTCACCATACATGTTTTTTTGGTAGACTAGGGTACCAAGAATGAGTCAGGAGCCCACAGATGTATGCTGCACTGTTCAAATCGTTGATTGTTTGCTTGTTTCCTTCCATCCAGAAGAGCTCAGGCTAATCCTTTTGCCATTTATTCCTTCTGGCTCGATTCGTGCCATGGCAGACCTCGATGCGGGCTGCATCACTGAGGCAGGTTTGGAAAGACTTGATACCATGCGCGAGAGGTGTCTCAACTTACTGTAATATTTGCGATACTTAGAAATGCCTAGCGGTTCAGAACCGAACACAGGTAGAAAATGCAGGGTTGAACTTGTTTGCCTGACACTGAAGAGGTCCAGGATGTACGCGTTAGTTTGCAGGTAAGCGGTAAGCAGCCTTTCCAGAACGCTTTTACATTTCATTGCTACATCTTCACTCAAGACTTGATGCAATCATCTCTTGCAAAACCGTGCAGCTACAAATGCATTCTGCATCAGCAGCTGGAGTGCAAACTGATTCAAACTAGAGAGGATCCTCGGTTGTTTGTACTCTCACTCTTCGCCATTATACTTAATTGTACTTAATTATACTTATACTACCTTTTACTGATATGTGTTTTCCTATGTTTTCCTTGGGATCCAAGTAGATCCAGGTGGATACCCGACCTGCAACCACAGTGTGGCAGGACTTGCTCGCCCTGACCGAGCACTTTGTTGCTGGTGCCATGGAAGATTCCAAATTTGTTGCCAGGAACCATGAAGATGGCACGCCGCCAACGCACGAAGAGGAGGAAGCAATGAAGAAAAACCGCGTGGAGTACCTTTTTTTTACAAGTCAGTCTCGCATCATGCAAATCACTCACTTGGCACATGTATGCACATGTAGCATCACTTTAGCACTTGACTCATTTTCACATCCTTTTCGATACGTGTCTTGCATACAAGTATCGATAGCTGTCATTGATTCAGATTGAAGTGTTTCTTTTTTGCGCCTGTAGACCACATTTCAAAATCTTGTGAGTTGCTTGCCCAAGGTACTGGCAAGGGATGCTGCATGGTGCACATTCGATGGTGCCAGGGCGAGACACGGTGCCCAATCCTTTTCGGGCCGCAATTCTGGCAAAGATGGGCTTTAGCAGAGATGGTATTCTGCCTGCACAGCTCCCCCTTCGTCACCTGGCAAAATTAAGATGATATGTTTTTCCCAGCTTGGTACGTGACGTGTTTGTTACTTGCAGTGTTTTGTTGTCCTGCTGAGAGTTGTCAGGTGCGAATTGCAACACGTTTTCCTTCCAGTCTCTGCTGGATGACAAAACAGCTGCCACTCTTGCGATCATGGAGTTGGAGCGGGCGTATCATGGATCAAAACTGCAAAGGGAGTCTGCCAGTTGTACAAAGGGTTAACATGATTTCAACTACTTCTAAGTATGAAGTACCGGATAAATGGGGTCAAACTATAATCCAGCTATCAGAGATAGGGACCTGTAGTTGCAGTGCTCATTTTTTATGTTTCAGACCTACATGGTTGATGAACTGGTGTTGCTGTGTGGGATTCCAGAAACCCTTCATCACGACATGTGGTGTCCTAAATCCTAGCGCTGAAAACCAGCAACCCCCAACCACCAAGCAACCGACCTTGATAAGATCTTATACAGTATCAGGTGTAGCTGTTTGCGTGTGTCTCTCACCAGAGCTAGGGGTGATTGCCCACTGCCTTGCTTGCGGTTGTTGATGATCATGCAGCTCTCTACTATGATACAAGCTTAAATCAGTAGCGAAGTCTTGCTATGAAGATCTATGAAGTATTTGCTCGCAAAAGATGTTGGGCTTGCCTGTGGTTCATTTGTTTTTCACGCAATAATTTCGACGTATTTCGACTTGTTTTCCAAGGGCTCTCAGTGGGCAAACCTCCAACGATCCGCCCAGGTATCCAGACTTGCTGGAGCACACAAAGCTCTTGGCACACTCCGCACCGGTTGATCCGGTTGATCCGGTCATCGAAGAACCCACACAGCTTCCAGCGTCCGAAACAGTGCCTGGCACTTTCGCCGAAGCGTTTGCCTGGTTTCTGAAGGCCAGTTGATCGCTTTGGTTCGGAGTTGGTCAGTTGATGTAAGTTTTCTTTGGTCGGATCCTTTTCTTTCCGTTGTTTCCCATTGGTGTCTTTCGAGGTGGGAGGCAATGGCTGCAGCTTCGTGTCATTGTAAGCGAAGATGCTTCATGTGAGTCCCAAAGCCGGACAAACTCAGAACCTGCGGTGATACATCTCAGATTTGGCAGCTGAGCACGACCTGAAGGACATCTTTGACACAGCAATTCAAATCTGAACATCAGAAGATGTTGAAGAAATCAGCTGGCTCCAGCCAAATCTACAGATGCAGTAGTTGCAGCCACAATGAGCGAAATGAACTTTAGAGTCACCTGAGTTGGGCCATGCTTGGCCATACTTTCAGGTATCGCCGATATCACAGCCACGGCGGAAAAAGACGTGCCATGGCGTACCTATGGGGCGGAACACTGATATTTGTTGATAACACATGAATGGTGGCTTTTATCATAGGGATTGACCATGAAAAATAGTGGTTCAGCTATGAAACATGGGGATTTTAACCAGCAATAGACAGTATTCAAGTGATATGGAACAAAGGAATGGTGGGCTTAGTCATCCAAAATAGGGATTTGACCATCAGAAAGAGATTTGTCCAATAAACATTGGTTTGGGCGTGTCTCAAAATTATGGGGAACAGTGACATCATGATTGTATAACACTTGAGTGGAAAAGCCAGTGGAAAATCTTCCATACTTTTCCGCAACGGAAGAATTTCCCGTTGCCGTGGATAAATTGCAAAAGACCTCACGTCACAACGTCACTGGAATGATGGTGTAGATGTGGGTAGCCATTCCATTTTAGCCGAACTTTTCAAATGAGTGAATTAATGATCGATTTTTATTCAGATCTGTATATCCCAATATATCCCAATATCATTGGGGTTAGACATATATATACATATGTTACTGAGCCTCACGGGGCTTCACCTCACGTGGCCTGAGCCTCTGAGCTTTTCTGGTCAGGCTGAAACCCAAGTGCTCGTTTGCAGCTTGGGCTCAAGCAGGTTTCAAATAAACTGCGTTGCGACAGAACACCTATCTCTCTACGCGGCAATGTTCGAGCCTATGTTAGAGACAATTAGCGGCTGGCTCACCTATGTCGCGGAGTCTGTGCCGTCACTGCAAGAGCCAAATGAGCCTTTGCAGTCGCAAGAGACATTGACAAAAGAGGGCATGGAAGGACTGCTGTCCTCCTTGAAGTTTCCGTTGTCGTATGGACATCAGGAGTTCAAGGAACATTGGCCCCACACGCCCCATGAAGCCAAGCTGGTGATCCAAAGCCTGCATGACCTGGCGCGTGCATTGTTTGGAGCCAGGGAGGATGATGCAGTCGTGGCATCTTTCTTGGAGAAGAGGGGATTGAGTCTTCTAGTAGAAGCACTGCTCGCGAAGTCAACTCCCGAGATCATCCGCGCACAGGCGTGGCAGTCGCTGTGCCTAATCCTGCTGAATGTGGAGGACAGCTTTGTGAGACACAGGGGCACACATTCACACACATGCAGAAAAATGAGATCATATGCCTACTGTATTGACATGAAAAGTCGCCTATTGCTTCTCCCATCATGATTTCAAAGTTGTTCATGATTGGAGCTTGGCGCCAAAATGACCAATTCGCATGCCCACATCCAATACATGTTCGATGTTGCTCTGGAATCCCTGGAATGACAAAGACCGCAGGAGGATGTCTTCCAACGGTTGATCATTGGGCGTGAGCTGGATGTGTTGTGGTCTCGTGAGCCAGATCTTCGCATTGAGGAGCTGGGAAGTTGTGCAAGTTGTGCCCCTTGCGGCGCGAAGCAAGTTCTGTTACAATGGCTCAATCAATCTGACTCGCAATAGAGCTCTATTCGCAAACTCAATTCTTTCTTTTTGATTCATCTGTATTTCAGCGTCAGGAGAATCGGATGAACTTCGTCTCTTGTCTCAAAACAGTCAGCATGCGAATAGACGTGGAGACGCTGCCGTTCCTCATGACAGACAGCGACATCCCGATCCTCAGAGTGGCGATGGCCTACACGGCCCATGAAGAGGCCCTGCTCCGCACCCAGGCGCGCAACGCCATGTTGACACTTTTTTCGAAGATGAAGATGGGCGAGGAACAGCTGTTGCGGACTGCCTTGGAAATGGCAAAGTCCAGGAAGCTTGGTTGAGTTATTGGCAAGTCATGACATTTGACATGACATGTCATGCCCCTGTACTGGATTAGGAAAGGCGTCATGCTGGAAGATTTATGCGTTGTCACGCTTGAATTTCTGGTCCATTTGTTTCTTGTCAGGAGATTGGCACATTGCTCCCTCAGACGTTTCATACTTCACTTGTTGAAACATTCATGAAGTCAGATGTCATTGAGCACATTCGATTGCATCCCAGATTTTCAAGGTTGCCGACCCCTTTGTGCACTTTGCTGTGGCAGAATTGGGCAAACATGGCACAAGCAGCCAAAAGCAGGAATGCTCCGGCTTTGCAAAAATGGGCATTCCGTGAAGAGGACTGTATTCCCGGTACCCCACAAAGGAGTGAGAGTTGGGGGGCAATATGGGACACGACCTTCTGAAAAGCGAAGAACAAGGCTTTTGCAAAATCTGAATTCTCAAATTCTCTTTAAGCAGAAGCAACGCCGTACCTCGAGCAGGTTGCACGGTTTTGTATCCCCAAATCTATGTGTACAGGCTTTTGTGAAGCAGACCGTCAATGCGATCAATCCAATAGTGGCCTATTCCCTGGCAAGGGTGTCAGGTGTCCATGGTCCGGATAGCTCGGATAGCTGGGATAGCTGCAGGACCTTTGGGACCATCTGGCCGAACTGATCAAGCTTGACATCACAGACGTCACACAGATGGTCTGTGGTGTTATAGTGGGAAGTCTGGTCTGGAAACTCGGAGCGCTGACTCCCAGAGATGTGGGAGTGAACCACTGGAGCGCTCCCTTTGTGAAGCTCTTCAAAAGATCCAGCAATAATTCTGTGGGACGGTATTCTTGAGGAAGATTGGGGAATGAATGTGAATACACAACGCAATCTCTCTCTCTCTCTCTAGTATATATATATATACAGTGTTGTGGGTCCAAGTAGAGATATTGTATGTGGACATATCTAGTCTATACATGTACTCATATTGTTATGCAGTATTCCGATAAGAATACCATATGCGCATTATATCTAGTTTGGGTTTCAACAGAACAAGGAATGTCTGTGGACTCTGGGGGCGTTCTTCCGATTGTGTTGATGCATAAGTGCAGGGTCACTTGAAACTTCGCACAACCAGTCCAGGAACAGCGACGATTTCGACCCAGAGCCGATGATGGCCGTTCCGCCTCCAGGGGCGTGGAATCTGTCGCCGAAGTCCCACACAGAATCAACGGCCTCGCTGTCGGCGGACCAGTCTTCGCTGGAGGAGTGTGCCAGCTTTACTGCGCGTGGGCTTGGAACCGCCATGAAGGTTGCGGAGACGTTCGCCATAGATATGGCATCCAGTGAGCATTGCGCCGCCATGGCTCTGAGAACCCTGGCAACCTACGCGGGAACTCTTCGACACGCAGGCATTGCTTGTGCGCTCATGCCACTTGTGGAGTCTTTTGGATTTATCAGTGAGCTTGAAGGTTATCACTTTGCTGGTCTGGAAACACTAAAGCCGTACAGTCTTTTTCCCTCTTGTTGAGTAGCGTTTGATGTTGGCTGAAATTCCTCACCATACATGTTTTTTTGGTAGACTAGGGTACCAAGAATGAGTCAGGAGCCCACAGATGTATGCTGCACTGTTCAAATCGTTGATTGTTTGCTTGTTTCCTTCCATCCAGAAGAGCTCAGGCTAATCCTGTTGCCATTCATTCCTTCTGGCTCGATTCGTGCCATGGCAGACCTCGATGCGGGCTGCATCACTGAGGCAGGTTTGGAAAGACTTGATACCATGCGCGAGAGGTGTCTCAACTTAATATTTGCGATACTCAGAAATGCCTAGCGGTTCAGAACCGAACACAGGTAGAAAATGCAGGGTTGAACTTGTTTGCCTGACACTAAAGAGGTCCAGGATGCACGCGTTAGTTTGCAGGTAAGCGGTAAGCAGCCTTTCCAGAACGCTTTTACATTTCATTGCTACATCTTCACTCAAGACTTGATGCGATCATCTCTTGCAAAACCGTGCAGCTACAAATGCATTCTGCATCAGCAGCTGGAGTGCAAACTGATTCAAACTAGAGAAGACTCGGTTGTTTGTACTCTCACTCTTCGCCATTATACTTAATTGTACTTATACAGCTTATACATACTTATACTACCTTTTACTGATATGTGTTTTCCTATGTTTTCCTTGGGATCCAAGTAGATCCAGGTGGATACCGACCTGCAACCACAGTGTGGCAGGACTTGCTCGCCCTGACCGAGCACTTTGTTGCTGGTGCCATGGAAGATTCCAAATTTGTTGCCAGGAACCATGAAGATGGCACGCCGCCAACGCACGAAGAGGAGGAAGCAATGAAGAAAAACCGCATGGAGTACCTTTTTTTTACAAGTCAGTCTCGCATCATGCAAATCACTCACTTGGCACATGTATGCACATGTAGCATCACTTTAGCACTTGACTCATTTTCACATCCTTTTCGATACGTGTCTTGCATACAAGTATCGATAGCTGTCATTGATTCAGATTGAAGTGTTTCTTTTTTGCGCCTGTAGACCACATTTCAAAATCTTGTGAGCTGCTTGCCCAAGGTACTGGCAAGGGATGCTGCATGGTGCACATTCGATGGTGCCAGGGCGAGACACGGTGCCCAATCCTTTTCGGGCCGCAATTCTGGCAAAGATGGGCTTTAGCAGAGATGGTATTCTGCCTGCACAGCTCCCCCTTCGTCACCTGGCAAAATTAAGATGATATGTTTTTCCCAGCTTGGTACGTGACGTGTTTGTTACTTGCAGTGTTTTGTTGTCCTGCTGAGAGTTGTCAGGTGCGAATTGCAACACGTTTTCCTTCCAGTCTCTGCTGGATGACAAAACAGCTGCCACTCTTGCGATCATGGAGTTGGAGCGGGCGTATCATGGATCAAAACTGCAAAGGGAGTCTGCCAGTTGTACAAAGGGTTAACATGATTTCAACTACTTCTAAGTATGAAGTACCGGATAAATGGGGTCAAACTATAATCCAGCTATCAGAGATAGGGACCTGTAGTTGCAGTGCTCATTTTTTATGTTTCAGACCTGCATGGTTGATGAACTGGTGTTGCTGTGTGGGATTCCAGAAACCCTTCATCACGACATGTGGTGTCCTAAATCCTAGCACTGAAAACCAGGAACCCCCAACCACCAAGCAACCGACCTTGATAAGATCTTATAGCAGGTGCAGCTGTTTGCGTGTGTCTCTCACCAGAGCTAGGGGTGATTGCCCACTGCCTTGCTTGCGGTTGTTGATGATCATGCAGCTCTCTACTATGATACAAGCTTAAATCAGTAGCGAAGTCTTGCTATGAAGATCTATGAAGTATTTGCTCGCAAAAGATGTTGGGCTTGCCTGTGGTTCATTTGTTTTTCACGCGATAATTTCGACGTATTTCGACTTGTTTTCCCAAAGGTGCTGTCTCAGTTGGAGCACCAAAGACTCCAACGATGTGCCCAGGGCATCCGACGTGCGGCGCACACCAAAGCCTTGGCACAATCGCACGGATTGATCGGTTGATCCGGTCATCGAAGAACCCACACAGCTTCCAGCTTCCGAAACAGTGCCTGGCACTTTCGCCGAAGCGTTTGCCTGGTTTCTGAAGACCATCAGTTGATCGCTTTGGTTCGGAGTTGGTCAGTTGATGTAAGATCCTTTTCTTTCCGTTGTTTCCCATTGGTGTCTTTCGAGGTGGGAGGCAATGGCTGCAGCTTCGTGTCATTGTAAGCGAAGATGCTTCATGTGAGTCCCAAAGCCGGACGAACTCAGAACCTGCGGTGATACATCTCAGATTTGGCAGCTGAGCACGACCTGAAGGACATCTTTGACACAGCAATTCAAATCTGAACATCACAAGATGTTGAAGAAATCAGCTGGCTCCAGCCAAATCTACAGATGCAGTAGTTGCAGCCACAATGAGCGAAATGAACTTTAGAGTCACCTGAGTTGGGCCATGCTTGGCCATACTTTCAGGTATCGCCGATATCACAGCCACGGCGGAAAAAGACGTGCCATGGCGTACCTATGGGGCGGAACACTGATATTTGTTGATAACACATGAATGGTGGCTTTTATCATAGGGATTGACCATGAAAATAGTGGTTCAGCTATGAAACATGGGGATTTTAACCAGCAATAGACAGTATTCAAGTGATATGGAACAAAGGAATGGTGGGTTTAGTCATCCAAAATAGGGATTTGACCATCAGAAAGAGATTTATCCAATAAACATTGGTTTGGGTGTGTCTCAAAATTATGGGGAACAGAGACATCATGATTGTATAACACTTGAGTGGAAAAGCCAGTGGAAAATCTTCCATACTTTTCCGCAACGGAAGAATTTCCCGTTGCCGTGGATAAATTGCAAAAGACCTCACGTCACAACGTCACTGGAATGATGGTGTAGATGTGGGTAGCCATTCCATTTTAGCCGAACTTTTCAAATGAGTGAATTAATGATCGATTTTTATTCAGATCTGTATATCCCAATATATCCCAATATCATTGGGGTTAGACATATATATATATATACATATATATATATATGTTACTGAGCCTCACGGGGCTTCACCTCACGTGGCCTGAGCCTCTGAGCTTTTCTGGTCAGGCTGAAACCCAAGTGCTCGTTTGCAGCTTGGGCTCAAGCAGGTTTCAAATAAACTGCGTTGCGACAGAACACCTGTCTCTCTACGCGGCAATGTTCGAGCCTATGTTAGAGACAATTAGCGGCTGGCTCACCCACGTCGCGGAGTCTGTGCTCTCATTGCAAGAGCCAAATGAGCCTTTGCAGTCGCAAGAGACATTGACAAAAGAGGGCATGGAGGGACTGCTGTCCTCCTTGAAGTTTCCATTGTCGTATGGACATCAGGAGTTCAAGGAACATTGGCCCCACACGCCCCATGAAGCCAACCTCGTGATCCAAAGCCTGCATGACCTGGCGCGTGCATTGTTTGGAGCCAGGGAGGATGATGCAGTCGTGGCATCTTTCTTGGAGAAGAGGGGATTGAGTCTTCTAGTAGAAGCACTGCTCGCGAAGTCAACTCCCGAGATCATCCGCGCACAGGCGTGGCAGTCGCTGTGCCTAATCCTGCTGAATGTGGAGGACAGCTTTGTGAGACACAGGGGCACACATTCACACACATGCAGAAAAATGAGATCATATGCCTACTGTATTGACATGAAAAGTCGCCTATTGCTTCTCCCATCATGATTTCAAAGTTGTTCATGATTGGAGCTTGGCGCCAAAATGACCAATTCGCATGCCCACATCCAATACATGTTCAATGTTGCTCTGGAATCCCTGGAATGACAAAGACCGCAGGAGGATGTCTTCCAACGGTTGATCATTGGGCGCGAGCTGGATGTGTTGTGGTCTGGCGAGCCAGATCTTCGAATTGAGGAGCTGGGAAGTTGTGCAAGTTGTGCCCCTTGCGGCGCGAAGCAAGTTCTGTTACAATGGCTCAATCAATCTGACCCGCAATAGAGCTCTATTCGCAAACTCAATTCTTTCTTTTTGATTCATCTGTATTTCAGCGTCAGGAGAATCGGATGAACTTCGTCTCTTGTCTCAAAACAGTCAGCATGCGAATAAACGTGGAGACGCTGCCGTTCCTCATGACAGACAGCGACATCCCGATCCTCAGAGTGGCGATGGCCTACACGGCCCATGAAGAGGCCCTGCTCCGCACCCAGGCGCGCACGGCCATGTTAACACTTTTTTCGAAGATGAAGATGGGCGAGGAACAGCTGTTGCGGACTGCCTTGGAAATGGCAAAGTCCAGGAAGCTTGGTTGAGTTATTGGCAAGTCATGACATTTGACATGACATGTCATGCCCCTGTACTGGATTAGGAAAGGCGTCATGCTGGAAGATTTATGCGTTGTCACGCTTGAATTTCTGGTCCATTTGTTTCTTGAAAGGAGATTGGCACATTGCTCCCTCAGACGTTTCATACTTCACTTGTTGAAACATTCATGAAGTCAGATGTCATTGAGCACATTCGATTGCATCCCAGATTTTCAAGGTTGCCGACCCCTTTGTGCACTTTGATGTGGCAGAATTGGGCAAACATGGCACAAGCAGCCAAAAACAGGAATGCTCCGGCTTTGCAAAAATGGGCATTCCGTGAAGAGGACTGTATTCCCGGTACCCCACAAAGGAGTGAGAGTTGGGGGGCAATATGGGACACGACCTTCTGAAAAGCGAAGAACAAGGCTTTTGCAAAATCTGAATTCTCAAATTCTCTTTAAGCAAAAGCAACGCCGTACCTCGAGCAGGTTGCACGGTTTTGTATCCCCAAATCTATGTGTACCAAAGAGATGTAATTGGCCTAGGCTTTTGTGAAGCAGACCGTCAATGCGATCAATCCAATAGTGGCCTATTCCCTGGCAAGGGTGTCGGGTGTCCATGGTCCGGATAGCTCGGATAGCTGCAGGACCTTTGGGACCATCTGGCCGAACTGATCAAGCTTGACATCACAGACGTCACACAGATGGTCTGTGGTGTTATAGTGGGAAGTCTGGTCTGGAAACTAGGATCCCTGACTCCCACAGATGTGGGAGTGAACCACTGGAGCGCTCCCTTTGTGAAGCTTTTCAAAAGATCCAGCAATAATTCTGTGGGACGGTATTCTTGAGGAAGATTGGGGAATGAATGTGAATACACAACGCAATCTCTCTCTCTCTCTCTAGTATATATACATATATACAGTGTTGTGGGTCCAAGTAGAGATATTGTATGTGGACATATCTAGTCTATACATGTACTCATATTGTTATGCAGTATTCCGATAAGAATACCATATGCGCATTATATCTATTTTGGGTTTCACCAGAACAAGGAATGTCTGTGGACTCTGGGGGCGTTCTTCCGATTGTGTTGATGCATAAGTGCAGGGTCACTTGAAACTTCGCACAACCAGTCCAGGAACAGCGACGATTTCGACTCAGAGCCGATGATGGCCGTTCCGCCTCCAGGGGCGTGGAATCTGTCGCCGAAGTCCCACACAGAATCAACGGCCTCGCTGTCGGCGGACCAGTCTTCGCTGGAGGAGTGTGCCAGCTTTACTGCGTGTGGGCTTGGAACCGCCATGAAGGTTGCGGAGACGTTCGCCATAGATATGGCATCCAGTGAGCATTGCGCCGCCATGGCTCTGAGAACCCTGGCAACCTACGCGGGAACTCTTCGACACGCAGGCATTGCTTGTGCGCTCATGCCACTTGTGGAGTCTTTTGGATTTATCAGTGAGCTTGAAGGTTATCACTTTGCTGGTCTGGAAACACTAAAGCCGTACAGTCTTTTTCCCTCTTGTTGAGTAGCGTTTGATGTTGGCTGAAATTCCTCACCATACATGTTTTTTTGGTAGACTAGGGTACCAAGAATGAGTCAGGAGCCCACAGATGTATGCTGCACTGTTCAAATCGTTGATTGTTTGCTTGTTTCCTTCCATCCAGAAGAGCTCAGGCTAATCCTTTTGCCATTTATTCCTTCTGGCTCGATTCGTGCCATGGCAGACCTCGATGCGGGCTGCATCACTGAGGCAGGTTTGGAAAGACTTGATACCATGCGCGAGAGGTGTCTCAACTTACTGTAATATTTGCGATACTTAGAAATGCCTAGCGGTTCAGAACCGAACACAGGTAGAAAATGCAGGGTTGAACTTGTTTGCCTGACACTGAAGAGGTCCAGGATGTACGCGTTAGTTTGCAGGTAAGCGGTAAGCAGCCTTTCCAGAACGCTTTTACATTTCATTGCTACATCTTCACTCAAGACTTGATGCAATCATCTCTTGCAAAACCGTGCAGCTACAAATGCATTCTGCATCAGCAGCTGGAGTGCAAACTGATTCAAACTAGAGAGGATCCTCGGTTGTTTGTACTCTCACTCTTCGCCATTATACTTAATTGTACTTAATTATACTTATACTACCTTTTACTGATATGTGTTTTCCTATGTTTTCCTTGGGATCCAAGTAGATCCAGGTGGATACCCGACCTGCAACCACAGTGTGGCAGGACTTGCTCGCCCTGACCGAGCACTTTGTTGCTGGTGCCATGGAAGATTCCAAATTTGTTGCCAGGAACCATGAAGATGGCACGCCGCCAACGCACGAAGAGGAGGAAGCAATGAAGAAAAACCGCGTGGAGTACCTTTTTTTTACAAGTCAGTCTCGCATCATGCAAATCACTCACTTGGCACATGTATGCACATGTAGCATCACTTTAGCACTTGACTCATTTTCACATCCTTTTCGATACGTGTCTTGCATACAAGTATCGATAGCTGTCATTGATTCAGATTGAAGTGTTTCTTTTTTGCGCCTGTAGACCACATTTCAAAATCTTGTGAGCTGCTTGCCCAAGGTACTGGCAAGGGATGCTGCATGGTGCACATTCGATGGTGCCAGGGCGAGACACGGTGCCCAATCCTTTTCGGGCCGCAATTCTGGCAAAGATGGGCTTTAGCAGAGATGGTATTCTGCCTGCACAGCTCCCCCTTCGTCACCTGGCAAAATTAAGATGATATGTTTTTCCCAGCTTGGTACGTGACGTGTTTGTTACTTGCAGTGTTTTGTTGTCCTGCTGAGAGTTGTCAGGTGCGAATTGCAACACGTTTTCCTTCCAGTCTCTGCTGGATGACAAAACAGCTGCCACTCTTGCGATCATGGAGTTGGAGCGGGCGTATCATGGATCAAAACTGCAAAGGGAGTCTGCCAGTTGTACAAAGGGTTAACATGATTTCAACTACTTCTAAGTATGAAGTACCGGATAAATGGGGTCAAACTATAATCCAGCTATCAGAGATAGGGACCTGTAGTTGCAGTGCTCATTATTTTTTATGTTTCAGACCTACATGGTTGATGAACTGGTGTTGCTGTGTGGGATTCCAGAAACCCTTCATCACGACATGTGGTGTCCTAAATCCTAGCGCTGAAAACCAGCAACCCCCAACCACCAAGCAACCGACCTTGATAAGATCTTATACAGTATCAGGTGTAGCTGTTTGCGTGTGTCTCTCACCAGAGCTAGGGGTGATTGCCCACTGCCTTGCTTGCGGTTGATGATGATCATGCAGCTCTCTACTATGATACAAGCTTAAATCAGTAGCGAAGTCTTGCTATGAAGATCTATGAAGTATTTGCTCGCAAAAGATGTTGGGCTTGCCTGTGGTTCATTTGTTTTTCACGCAATCATTTCGACGTATTTCGACTTGTTTTCCAAGGGCTCTCAGTGGGCAAACCTCCAACGATCCGCCCAGGTATCCAGACTTGCTGGAGCACACAAAGCTCTTGGCACACTCCGCACCGGTTGATCCGGTTGATCCGGTCATCGAAGAACCCACACAGCTTCCAGCGTCCGAAACAGTGCCTGGCACTTTCGCCGAAGCGTTTGCCTGGTTTCTGAAGGCCAGTTGATCGCTTTGGTTCGGAGTTGGTCAGTTGATGTAAGTTTTCTTTGGTCGGATCCTTTTCTTTCCGTTGTTTCCCATTGGTGTCTTTCGAGGTGGGAGACAATGGCTGCAGCTTCGTGTCATTGTAAGCGAAGATGCTTCATGTGAGTCCCAAAGCCGGACAAACTCAGAACCTGCGGTGATACATCTCAGATTTGGCAGCTGAGCACGACCTGAAGGACATCTTTGACACAGCAATTCAAATCTGAACATCACAAGATGTTGAAGAAATCAGCTGGCTCCAGCCAAATCTACAGATGCAGTAGTTGCAGCCACAATGAGCGAAATGAACTTTAGAGTCACCTGAGTTGGGCCATGCTTGGCCATACTTTCAGGTATCGCCGATATCACAGCCACGGCGGAAAAAGACGTGCCATGGCGTACCTATGGGGCGGAACACTGATATTTGTTGATAACACATGAATGGTGGCTTTTATCATAGGGATTGACCATGAAAAATAGTGGTTCAGCTATGAAACATGGGGATTTTAACCAGCAATAGACAGTATTCAAGTGATATGGAACAAAGGAATGGTGGGCTTAGTCATCCAAAATAGGGATTTGACCATCAGAAAGAGATTTGTCCAATAAACATTGGTTTGGGTGTGTCTCAAAATTATGGGGAACAGTGACATCATGATTGTATAACACTTGAGTGGAAAAGCCAGTGGAAAATCTTCCATACTTTTCCGCAACGGAAGAATTTCCCGTTGCCGTGGATAAATTGCAAAAGACCTCACGTCACAACGTCACTGGAATGATGGTGTAGATGTGGGTAGCCATTCCATTTTAGCCGAACTTTTCAAATGAGTGAATTAATGATCGATTTTTATTCAGATCTGTATATCCCAATATATCCCAATATCATTGGGGTTAGACATATATTATCATATATATATGTTACTGAGCCTCACGGGGCTTCACCTCACGTGGCCTGAGCCTCTGAGCTTTTCTGGTCAGGCTGAAACCCAAGTGCTCGTTTGCAGCTTGGGCTCAAGCAGGTTTCAAATAAACTGCGTTGCGACAGAACACCTGTCTCTCTACGCGGCAATGTTCGAGCCTATATTAGAGACAATTAGCGG